CCTCTCTTCCGTGCCAAGTCACTGCGTTTCTGTTTGTAAGTGCTGAATTAGTATCCTGTCTCATTCACCTACAGTATCACCTTCCATATGGGATGTGACGAGGAGCAGAGATAGAACTCTTGGATATCCATGGTGGGCAGGTTCACGCTCTGGGCTAAGAAGAATGGTTCATTGGTCTGCAGCTGACTCAAATGTCAAGCATCTGACTGCATCAATAGCAAAGACTTCAAAACAATGTTAAAAGGAGGTGAAATGGGAAAACATCTACTTGCAGTGTTCTTCCAGAACGCTTAGCTTCTAGGCAAACTCTCAGCCCACATAGCCCAGAGTGTAAGGGGGAAGTGCCTGCAGAGAAAAAGTTAAGGGATGACAATGTCCTTCTGCATCTGCTGCAGCAGCTTCTTCCAGTCTGATGCAATACGAAAAAGGTTGAGACTAGCCCCTCCCCCATCAGTCACATTAGAAAGACTAATGTGATTTTCACCACAACACTAGGCCCTTTGTACTCTGATGTTTAACCATATTGGAATGTTGTTCTTTCCATTGCCTTTATGATGCTACTTGGATTTGAAACCATGGGGTCTTATTCCAGCCAGAAACTCAATCTGCCTTTTTCTTTTATTTAAAACATTCAAACAAGTTTCATTCTACAGGTTTCCACTGAATCAAAACACAAGGGACATGTTTTACAAAGTAGCTTGTCCCTTTACAATGTCCCCACTTCCACGCTAAAGATCAGAGGCCACCACCCAAATTTTCCTTGACATTTCAGTGGTAGGGATGGCATACAGGGCACGTACCAGGTCTGGGGAAACAAGACATTCATTTTGGAATTCTGATGGTCATAGACCTTTGATTGCCACTTTCTTCTGTAAAACCTTTTTGCCTACAACAGTTGCAAGCTGTGGTTTTTGTTTTCTTTTCTTTCTTTTTTTTTTTTTTTTTTGCCTGTGTGAGGTGACTAACAACACAACCACTCTCTGCATGGGCAGTGTGTTCATCCAACACCCAAACCACCTACTGGTTTCTGGTGCCTCTTATCAGCTAAGCCATCAGCCATGAACTGACATTTCAGCATTTAGAAGCTCCCTACCCCCACCCCCCAAAAAAGTGACAGGAGGAGAAAAAGGCTCATTTGACAATAGTTTGCTCTTGCTGTTTGGCCTGGAGAAAGACATTCAAAGTGGTAGAAGATTGTTTAGTAACAGCTGGCGAGCACCAGGGTGTGAGGCTGATTTTCAGATATGACAGCCACTTACAGGAATGCTGCCAGATACAGCTGTTTAAAAGCCTTAATAAACAGCAAGTCAATACTAATCTTTGCCAAATTAATCTTTTCCCTGACAGCCCATCAGAACAATTATGTTTGGGTTTATTGTAAACATACAATTGTCAAACAGGGACATTCCAGACTTTAAAAAAAAATAACTGTAGTTTGGTTCATAATCTCTCTTTAGAAATATTTTTATTTTCTCTGTTGAATTGCCTTTCCATTTCATTTTTTGATCACTTATTTTTTCTAGCCTCATGTCCCTGTGAATAAAATTTCACTTTGAAATTCTTTGCCGGCTGTTAATAAAATATGAAATGATTTGTGCTAGCAGGTTTCTTTCATTAGCTGTAGCTTTGCCCATAATGAAATATAAGACATCATTGTTCTCAGTTGTCTCCCATCCTGGAACAAGAACTTCACATCTTCTCATCTACTATGGTGCAGTCTGGTGCTGGGTACCAATGACAAGATGTTTGGTTACGTCTGAAATGAGAATGCAAGGCTGAATCTCTGTGCATACACTAGGTTGCCAAGTGCATCTAACTTGGTTCTAAATTTCTCTCCTCTCCCACCTGCTCCCAACCTCCCTGCTTTGGTTGGTCAGTTTAGAAGGATCCTTATTCACCTTCTCTAAGCAATAGCCTTATCTAAGGGTTTAGAAACTTTGTTCTTAGAAAAGTTTTTCCCACACTGAGAAATGGTGTCAAATGAAAGTATGGAAATCTCCTTTGAGGACAAACCGTTTGTTCTGATCCTGGTATCATTTAGGTAGAATTTCGGAAATAAGATCCCTTTCCGTGCTTCAACAGTCCTGCTCATACTTGGTAATTAGGAAACAAATCAGATTCCTGTTCATCAATATTTCAATTTGGTGTTCCATAAAACTTGCCATCTGAAATTTCTCTCCTCCTACACGTCTAGCACCCTTTCCCCCCCTTTCTTGTTATTGTCTTGATGTGATGAGTATGTATTCTCATCTTTTACTTTTGTCACAACTAGAAAAACTCTTGTTCAATTATGTAGGCCAAAATATGATATCACTCATTTTTAAATTCTTTTAGTCTTTTGATAACTTTAGGTTTCTTCTTCAGTTCTAATGCTTGCCTATAAGCAAGGATTTATTTTCTATATTCAAAAGCTTCTAAATTAAGAAAACATGCAATTCTTGTTGAGCGTGAGTTGTGATGTTTCACTGGTTGTTATATCCTTGCATTTATTGTGCACTTAGGATGAGCTATGGCATTTCAAGTTATTTTGAAAAGAAGAAAATTATAGAATTTCAAGAAGTCAAAAACAGATTTATACTATGGGGTAGCTCTCATGAATTTACACATTAAGTAGAAGAGTTACTTGGTATAGTACATATTCAGGGATTAAATTCACAATATCAATTTTTTTTCTGTTGTTATTTCAATGCACATATTAGCAACAAAGATGAATTTTTCTGTTTGTATCCATATTTTAAAATGAGAGTTTGAGAAGAACAAGAAAATACAGGTCAAATTCCCATTCAGCAAATAAATATTATGAGACTACATAACAAAACTTTTCTTGTTCTAGAAGATAACCTATTTATTACAAATGTCTACATAAGCAATTTTCCTATAACAAAAAGTAAAGGCAGTTACTGAGACTTACTGGAACCTGGGAATTTTAAATATTGTTCAGTATGACATAGCTATCTAGGATGGATTTAAGTGGAATAATTTGTAAATGAACATAACCAATGACTTCTTCACGTTTTTTCCCTGTACTTTATAAAATACTCCTAACTCCATTAAAAATTATGTGTAAAGGTGGAACTGAACCCTGTTGTCCCTAGTCCCCTCACCTTCTGGTAGAGCACCCTGTGCACCATTGTAGGCAAAGGATTCAAACATTTGCAATTTCAGACGGTTCAATCTAATGACCTTCCAAATAAGTGAGGCAACTCTTTTACAGAGATTGACAAGTCCATGGAAAAAGATTGGTTGTTGATGTACTGATTCTGTATTTTGCATTAAAAAAAAAATTCTTTTAGCAGTGCATCAGCCTGGATACACTGCTTTGGTTGAATCATGGTTTCCTATGGACAACTCGTGTCCCAAGGAGAGGGCACTTTTTGTCATAAAGACAACAATTAAAAATAATCAGAGATAAAATTCATCATTCGGTATGTCTACAAATGTGATTAATTGGAATCATTATTTGCATCATTTTTTTCTTTGTCAACTCATGCTCATTGGGATGGGAACTGGAGATTTTGACTTTTCCTCCTTGATTTTCTTAGCGACGAAACCTACTCCTACCAACCAACCCCTCCCCCCTTTTTCAGAAGCTATAACTCTGAGTTTGGATTTATTGGTGAGGATATTTTACATCCAGTATCATTGCTGAATGACTTTATTTACGGTCCAAGGATAATTTGGAGCATGTAGCAGGGAACTTGGCATGCTTTGCCAAGGCTCCTCTGAGTAATAAGGTACAAGTGCTGGGCTGGCTACCGTGCCCATGCTGGATCCTGCTTTCCTTAAAGATGGTGGATTTAGAGATGGCAACTTTCTGAGGTTATAGTTTAGAGCTTTAAGTTGATGAGGGAGCGTTCTCAGAAATTGAGGGAAGAACATGTGAGATCCTGGCAGGCATTCACAACCCTACCATGCCTGATTACTTCTGTCCCGAGTACTCTGAGGGACTCACCTGGTTAGCCTGTTCTTTGGAACACTGAATAGAACACACGGTAAGAGTTTTTACTGATGATGTATTTTCTTTTATTTACATCTGTTTTTACTGCACTTGGCATTAAATTTCCACACTCTGTCTACGTGGTTGTGCACCTGCTCCAGAAAAGCTGTAAACAGCACTGTACTTCCCTGTACAAACTGCCTGTTAGAGTTGGAGCTGTTTGTTCTCATTAGAGTAATTACTTTCTCAGTTTAGACTTGAGAGAAAACTTTACTTTATCATAATATAATAAATAAAAGACATTAGTTAATTAGTAGGGCTGGTATATCTCTGAAATACTAAACAAACAATAAGCTGTGAATTTAATCTTATAAGGTCTTATACAATTTCAAGGCAGGAAAACTAGAGCTCACAGCTACAATCATTTTAATAATCACACTGGATCTGCATTATGTATTATTATGACATGCTCAAGTGATTCAAGTTTGAACAGCTGTCTGATAGCAAGCATACCTTTTGTCTTTTTACTTCTGATTGGATTATATAATGTATGTATTTGCATTAATTTGTTGGTAAATTTATTTTCCACATTCCATGAAAGAGATGCTAGCCATTCTCTTGATTTTCTACCAGACCAACTAAGTAGACACAATCTCCTGTAAGAGAATAATTTGTTGCTCTGTAAAAGCTATGCAAACCCCCAGTCATATTCTTAATTTTTTTGGCCCTTACCAAATCTCAAATACCCCAAGAATACTCTCAAATGACCTATGAGTTCTGGAAAAAGAAGTATCTCAGAGGCACAAAAAAGAAAGAATCTCAGTTTCTATCAATGACCTTCAAATTTGGAGTGCTTCTCCTCCCCCTTTTGCTATTACTTGTCTTTCATTTCTCTTTTCATTTTTAGCAGTATACTTCCACCTGTCCATTTTTCAATTCTCACATGTTTTCTGGACTGTGTAAATGGCATGCAGCTTGAGGAATTCTGGGTGACTCAACTTTAGCTTTTGGGAGGGAAATTTTCAAGATTGACTAAATCCAGCTGAGAGCCAAGAAGCAATTCTTTTCAAGTAGAGCATATATCATTTATTTAGTCTTGGAACTTGTGTGACTTTGGGAGCAATTCACTGTTGTATTGTAAGGAATAAGTAAGTTCTTAAACAGAATAAGTTTTCATCAATCAAAGAAATGTAGAAATAAGGACTGATTATTTTAATTTGCTGCTAAATGAAAAGCAGGTTTGGCTTTATTCATGAGTCACTGTAAAAACTAAATAATAAAATATTCACATCAAGCATGAATTTTTTTGCCAGCAAAAGTTAAAACATCAAAGAAACCTCTTTCAAATACTAATAAATTTACTTACAAACACCTATATTTATTATTTCATAAATAGGCGCAACAGATTCCATAAAAAAGATTAAATACAGACACAGTATGAAGAAACAATAATACAGAGCCGTATGTAAAGGTTATAATTTAGCTGTTTCCAATCTGTTTCTGCATCTACTAAGATACCAGGTAAGCGTTTGGCAGTTTTATACATAAAAGGACTTAAATGACATTTACTAACCATTACACAAAAAAATGATACAAAAAAGCAAATTTTCTGTGGTACAAAATAAATGTGTTTGCCCTTTCCTTAACACTAGTTTCTTTTTGTCTGATCAATGAGACAAAGCCAATTTGTTTTTAAATTAAAATCATTTGGGAATATTTTTTCAGATATTTTGAAAATATAGAATTATTAGTTGTTTTAAAAATGAAGTAAAAATATGAATGTTTGCCAATTTAACCCCTATTGTGAAATCAATAAACTGGGATGAACCAGTTTGAAATTACAATTTCGCTACAAAAACATTCACATTTTATACTCTAGGAGAGTGTAACATAGATGCTATTTACAAACTTGCTATGACTGCTACATTAAGCCATTTAAAAAGTCTTTAGTAATTTCATATAAACACCCATTATGAAAACCAATGGAAAATCCAGGACTGTTATCCGAGACATCTACAGGTGCTAAGGCAGTTACTAGCGCGCAGCACTTCACAGCAAAAAACCAACATAAAATCTGAATGGTCCATATATTTCCTTCAGGGAAGAAGAAAAACAATGTCCATAAAGGATTAAAAAAATAATAAAGAAGCATGATTATTTCTTCCAGAGTGGGTGACCCACAAGCTCAAATGGTCCTAGGTGCTTAGCAACTTGTATTTTCTAATAAAATGGAGACCTGCCTTGACTGTACAAAGCAATCCATGGTGAAAGGACTTCCCTGAATTCTTCAGTGGAAAGAAGAGGTGCTCAGATTTTCAGGTAAGGTACAGTGCTTTGTCTCTCTGCATGCCCCTGTATGGAGAGAAAAGAGACCGATCTTGTTATAAGATAACCTGTGCTGTAGGGGACAAAGGAACACAATGGATTTGAGTTACTTGTTCTAGCTTGAAGGATGAAGTTGAGCACGTATAGCTAACCTACATATAAAGTGAACAGAGATCTAAATTAATTTAATTTTTGAAGGGCTAAGAGGTGGTTCTCAATTTTCTGGAGCAGGGTCTTCTGCCTCCCTGAACACGCAAAAACACATTCGAGACCATGTACTGTATTTAAAAGGAAAATCACTAGGCTACATGCTATGAGAGCTGTCCACCGCCAGGTGGCGATGGCTAGCCGCTTACCCGCTACTACAGTAGTCATTATCCCAGTCCACCGGCTGAGCGGGAGGATTTCTGCACCCGGAGCGCACGTACTCCATTGCCTGGGTGACAACTTGTGCGGCTGTGGATGTAGGACTGATAATACTCTGATAGTCAGGTTGAAGAGTAAATCCCTGAAAAGGAAAAAGGCAAGTCCACAAATAAGGATCAAAATGCCTTCGAAGTAAAAACACCTAAATATTTACCCATTCTTTGTGAACACTCTCTGGGCCTTGCTCCTGACTGTGCAAGAGAAACCTAGCCGAACGGCCCAGAAGACTCAAAACAAAAGTATAAAAGATGTCCTGCAACCTCACTCTTCTTACCTTTCCTTCATTTAACCGTGAGTTAGCAAACCTTTAACTACACTCTTGAGCTGATACTGAATTGAGAAACGATTTAAAATAGAGAAGCCAACTCAATCAAAACAAAGGGAGAAAAGAGCTTAAATCCCTCAAAGTTTATGTTTTCTGTCAAACCTAAGGATACATTAATGGTTAATCCCCAGAATATGCAACAGAATCTTTTTTGAAGGATTCAGGCAGCAGGTGGCTGAGTGTTTTATTAGACTACACCTATTCACATATTGTTCTCAAAGCCCTTTTTCTTCATTCAGTCACAAAGGGACCATCTGCTTCTTCTTTTATTTGTAGTTCTCTCCCAGCTAAAAAATTTCAACCAAAGCTTTTTAACAGTGGTTGGACTAATATAGGGAAAGAGATGCAAAACAACTTTCCATTAGAAAACACGGGGAGGGAAAAGTGTAAGACAGAGCAAATATTTTTTAATTGAAAAGTCTATTAACTGGCAAACAATAATCAGACTTTGGGAAGAGTCTTTTAATTCACTAGTATGGTGAAGTATTGACTTTTGATCCTAGCAAAGCTATTAAAAATTCAAGGACAGAATCTGTGAAGTATATAGCTATATCTGGTAAACAAAAAGCATTATACAAGAAGATTTATTTTTAGCTTATCTGGTGAATTGAAGAGCAGCATAAGCAAGCTTTGCTGGAAGTGACCAAAAACAGCAACTGAATTAATCTTGTGGTTGTCTCTGCAAGCAGAGTCCATCCATGGTTTTTTAACCACTGAGACATCAAGAGTATTTTTTTTTAATGCACCATTTTTTACTTACTTGCTCAAAGCTTTTGAAGGCATGATACTGTTGTACTTTTCTTAAACTCAGCAGGGTGATCAGAGAATTGCTTTTTAACTAAAGATATTTCCTTAGAATTTTATTCATGTCTGGGTGTCCCTGTGTAAAGAAAGACTCAAAGACAACACCTACCATCAAATGCCCTCAATTCTCAATATCGGCGTCAAGGTAGTTTTATTTTCCAAATGATGAAGATGTCACGCCAATGTCCACAACTACTCTCACCCAAATAGTGGAAAATGACAGACTTTGGAATTACTGGAAGCAAATCATTGAAGAGTGGATAATTCATCCAGACTGGCTCATACAGATGAAGGACTAGATCTCCTATGCTAACAACTGTTTTGTGGGACATAAACTTGTTAGTGCAGACACCACTGCAATTTAAACCATAAGTGTCTTCTAAAACAAAGGTGCAAGTTGGAGATTTAACTGGCCATTTGGGTGTCTGGTCCTGGCTAGGCAGAATTCTTTTTTCTTCAGAGCTTCCTAGATTTCCAACATGGAGTCTCACAGGCTTCTTGTGGTCCTATCATATTGTCCAGCTCTCTGGACTTCCTTCCCTAGTGATGAGCATGCTGCCAAGAGCAGAAGAAGCTCTCTGGGAGCCTTGGGTTCACTACCTTTATCAAGGCCCTGTCATGAGGGCTGTTGATTTTCGAGGGCCTGAGATCAGTGTTTGAAATACTTACTGGATATTTTCAGAGCTTAGCCCTTAGTAGTGGCTCAATAAATCAAGTTTTTCAATAAATCAGGTTTGGTTCAGACTGTTTGATGCTACTGTTAGCACAGTTAGCACAGGGTGGGTACATGTGTAAATGCCAGGGCTTTCCTATATTTTTAATGTAAAGTTCTCCATATTGGATTTTTATATAACCAACAAAATGTAACCTAAAAGCAAACAGGTGTGAAAACAAAGAGTAGCTGACAATGTCTTGAGTTACGTGGAGGTATGGAAACAGGAGAAGCAGTGTGCTCATGAACACACACACACCATCACTGCTTTTCTCCACCCAGTGAAAATAGTTCCTGAAGCTGAATGAGAGAACACCAGAAAAAGCAATAGTTTTTAAGTCATTATACTTCAATTTATAAAATCAAAATTATGTGTTATTACGAATTTCAAATACTGAGAATTCAGCTAACAGTGGATCCTTGAGTTACGATCAGTCTAACATGCGAACAACTTAGAGTATGACCAGAATTTTAGTTATAATTTATGACCGAAATTTTGCGTTATGACATGAATACCAGCTGCTTGTGCTTCTCGATGATCGCAGATGGATTTAACCCTTAGAGAGTTCTGGAAGGAACATTACATCATCCTTTCCTGCATGGGGTTAATGGAGAAATCCTGGGCCAGTGTCTCTCTAAGGACCCTGAGATCTGCCTGTGTGCAGGAGACAGACTTTAAAGGCTGTGCAGAGGAGCCTGAGCCCTCCATTGACAACCTGAGTTACAACCTGCCCTCGGCAACGAATTGAGTTCATAAGTCAGGGGTCCACGGAACTCTAGTGCCTAAATTAAAGCAAACCACTCACACCAAAACAATCAAGGACCAAGAAAAACCCAGACAGAGGTGGAAGTAACATTATTTTACTTTCAAGTTAGAAAATAAAATATTCTTCTGAATACTATATACAGAAATGCCTAGGTCAAACTTAGAACTGAGTACATTATTAGTATTGATGTAAATAGGAGACAACTGATGATATAAATTTTTTGAAAAATGTTTGCCTAACAGTCCACTTAACAAATACTGAATATTTTACATTTTAATACTCAGGAGAAAAATCACCAACTGTTTTGTAGCAAGCTTGGAATTTTAAATTTCATTTTCTGGTGCCAGATTGAAATAAAAATAGGAAACATGATAAAGATTAATTTGATGTCAGAAGGGATATTTGCTCTTTAATTAGATTTCTGTAGCCCTAGCAGTTTTGTTGTGCCATGATAGCAAGTCCAAAAAAACCTGCAGCACAACCAAACAGTGATTCTCATATCCACACTTTACTGGGAACTAATTTCATTTCCTGCCTGTCTGGAGAGGTATTTTCAACAGGCATCAATGTTTTTGTCTTCACGACTGATTTATTCATCAATCTCAATGTGATTTTTTTAAACCTTTAAATTACACCCAAATCCTAAAGCAGCTGTTTATTACACAAGGAAATTGAAAATCTGTCTGTGTGATATCATACAAAGATTTTTTTCTTAAGGTTATAAAAGAAGTTGACAGATATTAATGATTTTTTTTCTCTTGACCTCATTCTACAATGGTGTGAGCAAAAAAAAAAAAAAAAAAAAAAAAAAAGGGGACAGAAAGATCGAAGTATGTTATGTGCACGTACAAATCTGCCAAAGCGCAAGGTCGTGAGTTCGGTTCCCGGTACTGGAGAAAAACAAAAAAAAAAAAAAAAAAAAAGACCAAAAAAACTAGGTCCATGGGTTCAGTGTATAAAATATGCTAGAAAAAAAAAGAAACTATTATTCCTGGTGGACTAAATAATTATTTTTGTAGGATACATTCATTTCAAAAGGATAATAAAATAGTGAAAGTAATAAATACAAGACATTCTTTTTAAAATATAGTAGACATTAACCTTCTTCTCTCTCTGTTCCCCTCCTTTTCCTCCGTCTTTCTCATCACTGTTTGAAGAGGGGACACTGCCCCCATACTAGGAGGTAAATAAATATATTTGGGATAAAGGTGGTTTGAATCATGAATCAGGTCAAATTTTATCCACAACACAGGTTTCCATCTACAGGATAAAATCTGACTGAGGCTGTGAACAATGGCCTGACAGACTATTGTGACTATATAAATTAAGTGGCATCTGGTCGGCCTCTTTGGTCTTGATTTTAGGATGATCAACTTATCGGGCTGCCAGTCTTAGGTTCATGAACATATTCTCAATTAAATTTTTTCAAAAACTTCAAAAGAACTAAGATTCTACAGCCTAATCTAATTCCTTCTACGGGTTTGACACTTACACTACTCACTTGCTTTTTAGTTATTCATCCCTCAATAGTTATGTTGTTCATACAATGGCACTGTTAAGTGATTTTTTTTTTTTTTTTTTGGTTTTTCTCTGGTACTGGGAACTGAACTCACGACCTTGCGCTTGCCAGGCAGGCGCTTTGCCACTGAGCTAAATCCCCAGCCCCTGTTAAGTGATTTTAGTCAACATAATCTCTAGCTATTTACTTTCCATTTTGAGTTCCTACCAGTTTGTGTGCTATTAATAAGAAAATTGAAATTAACTTCTATCATCAGAATACTTTTTGAGTAAGTATAGCTGGAATAGGTATATTACTGATGTCTGCAGTTTATTGAGAGGAACAGTCAATGCTTAAAATTTTCCTTTTTCTTGACCAATTTCACACTCTTGAATTTGGTAATTAGAATGACTGATCTGGAAACAATATGCAGTATAAGAACCATTGTTGAACTCCTACTATTTTGTATGGTGAAGCTCTGCAACATTTCCAATATTTTTAAAAAATTATTGCTATTATTTTTTTACTGTTACTGTCTTTGCTTGTTTGATCAATCTTACATTCTTACATCTGGTGGACTGAGCAACTTCGCTGAAGATAACAGTATGGAATGTAGCAACCATTTTAAATTTCTATCGTTTTGTCTTGAGGTCATGTATCATTTTTGTTGCTTTTGTGTTGTTTTGTCTTCACTGTTGTTTTGTAAGTTTTTTAATTTTTAAAATAAAAAAGTCCAAAAAATACTTTTGAAGTATACTAATAGAAATGATTTATAGAATGATAAATACTTTGTCCAATGTTATATGTGCCTTTTTTCCTACTTAGGTAAGATTCTCCACGGAAAGATAAATCTCTTGAATTTTTACATGTCGCTTTTTGTAATTTTGAAATATTTAAAAACTTTTCAGGATCACAGCCAGCTCTCTGAAGGTGTTAGCATAAATAGCAAAAAGAGACTTTTCTGGTGGATAAATTAGAAATCATGCCCTCTCTGGATGCCTTTGAGATTCCTTCCTTCGGGAAGAAGCCACCCTGAACTGAAGCACTGTGAGCAATACCTGGACCCTGAGCCTGGCAGCACCCTTAGCAGGGGTCACTCTCCCCAAATGAAGCTATCATCTCTCAGCCTAGTCTTTAGGCAAATGCTACTGATGCATGAAAAAGCAGCGATACTCGGGAGTGTCCCTTTTTTTGTGAGTGATGTTGGTAGCAGGGTGGAGATTTCACCTGTGAGTATCGCTTTGTCACAAATGCCTCCATAGACAAAGCAGGGAGGTAGAATCTGGCTTTTCCCTGACCTTCTTCCCTAGTGAGTCTTCCCTGGTGCTTTGGTGGATTTAGGTAGGAAATCAGCATGATCAATATCCCTGGTGTAGGGACCAAGGAAGACTGCAGTAGGGGGATGAATCCCTTTGCCAACCATAAAAATTCTGATTTAGAACTAACCAGGATTTAATGATCCTCCAAATTCTTAGGAGAAATAGATTTCTTATATGAAGTGTAAGGCAGACTGGACCTACGTGGGGAGAGTGAATAACTGACAAGAATGACTGAAACTGAGAGGGAGTTAGCCTAGCATTTAAGTATCCAGGCTCTGATTTCTGAACAGATCGGTCTGAATTCCAGTTCTGACCCTGCTAGTGCATTATTCAACCCTTCCAGCTTCAGTTTCTCATCTGTCTGGTGAAGACAACTGTAAATCAGGTGTTTCTATGCTCCAACTATTCTGAGAATTACAGATGAGATAAAACATTAAGGTACTGGGCTTATTACTGTCATCCTTTAGAAATCCTGTCAATAACAATAATGATAGTAATAATAATAAAATTTGTACCTACATATATTTATCTTTCTGCCTCCTCTCCCTCTTTCTCTTCCCAGTCCAGCTATGCCCACAGAAGGCATATACCAGTTCTGTAGGAGGGTTTACATATTTACTGTAGCTCTGAGGACAAGAGTATTTGGATGATAAAAATAATCTGGTCATAGTTGCATACTTTTGTAATCCCAGAACTCTGAGAGGCTGATGCAGGAGAATGCACATTTGAGGCCAGCCTGGGCTAATTAGTGACTTAGCAAGTCTTTGTCTCAAAATTTGAAACAAAATTCTTCAGAGACCTGAGGATGTAGCTCAGTGCAAAGGCCCTGGGGTTATGTCCCAGTTTCTCTCTCTGTCTCCCTCACACACACATACACACATACACACACACACACAGATAGTTGAATTTGCTATCATTTATAATTTTTACATTTTCTAAAACAAGTTCTTGGATTTTGAGTGCTTTTTGTGCAGTTGAGTTTATATGGTTTGCTTCTAATTTTCAAATTTTGGAATAGCACCAAAATCCAAACAGAAAATTTTATTTCAAATAAAAGTTAAGATTGCCCACAAGTGATTTCAGTAATCAAGGAGTTGTTAGGAAGGTTTCCAAGCCTCCCATGTTTTCTATTTTATGGAGAGGTCAACTATCCTATTTGTTTATGTATTTAAAATTTTCCAGCACTGAGGATTTAAATCAGGCCTGTCAGATGCTAGGCCCTCTATCACTCACCAGGGTCCCCTGAAATATGTTTAAATAAAACTCTGGTTGAGATGTTCAGTTATTTCTATTTTCTGGGTAGCATCAAACTTGCTTTTGGACCTGACATCATTGTGTAGCATTTATTGGACTTAACAAGTATACCAGGCAAGTCATTCTCATTATCAAGCAATATTTAACAAAGTATAGTATTCTCTATCCCAGTGAGATCTGTTGCCACGGTACTTTTCCAAGAAACAGAAACCAAAAGGGTGATTATAAAGGTGAAGCCGATGAATATCAAGAGAAGGAAACCAGTAAGTGTGGACAGAAGCAGCTGTGTACTAGTGGGACAGTGTAATGCTCTGCAAACTCACCGTGTGTGAATTACAGTTTCAGAAAGTTGATATCTGGGCATACCGTCCAGCCTCTCCCTATTTAAATAGAACAATAGAACACACAGTTCCCCCATACTTTCCTGCCCACTCTCCAGCCGTTTAGAACAGGGGTGCTGTTTCTCAGGCCGGAACAATGGCACTTACTTGCTGCATGGTTGGGGAATGTAAGGCAGACTGGACCTGCATGGGGAGCTGGTTCCCAATGGGCTGCTGCATGGCGAGTGGCTGGTGCTGCTGCATGCTGAGATGCTGGTGAAGAGGTGGGCTGATCTGGAGGGGCGGTGGCGGGGACACAGCCATGTTTGCTATTGAGACAGTCACTGGCATTTGGTTATTCGGCTTGGGTGCTATGCTCCTGGGGAGACTAGGATGCATGGCAGTTAGGTGAGGATTTATTCCTGGCTGTTGGTGATAGTGAGAATTTAGGTACAGAGCTGAGTGGGCCTGGCTGGGTCCATGGAACACTGACGGCTTTGAATTGATCAGCTGAGGAGGTTGAGATGTCTTAACATCGACAGGTTCACTGTAGCTCTGTTGAAATGAAGGAGAGAAGAGTTAGGAGCGTTGGATCCATGCAGCACTGATTCCACGAGCAAAATATTCTGGGAGTCTACTCATGAACTGTCTTGTGAATCCATACCCATGGCAATTCTTGATTACCTTATCTAAGAATTCCTCTATTATTGTTTTTGACATAACGTATACAAGGGTGAGTTTAATTCTAGCTCTTTCATGAAATCTAAAGCGATCTGCAATGACCCGGTTTCTGCTCTTCTGCCTAATACGAAACTCTAAACTGCTGACTCTTATCATCCTCTGCACAGAAAGATGCACGTAAGAGGGATACCATCACTGTCCCAGTGGGAAAACTAGTATAACTCACTTTTGAAGTAATTCATTTCTGCATTTCTCCTATCATTTATATGTTTAGCTTTTTTTTCATTTTATATTCTGAAAGAGCCTTGGTCTTATTATCTGCAAAAAGCTGGTTGATGGAAATGACTGGAAAAAGAAAGTTCTAAAGTACCTTTCTTCAGTCTATAAAATTATATTAATACATCTTCAAAGTAACCATAGAACTTGATTTTTTTTTTACAGAGAAGTTGGTGATGAATTATTCCCCTTAATGAAGTGGATAAAAATAATCTCTCTTAGAAATTTTAGACTCTATCATAAATTAATATAATTTTGCCCTAATTTTTTCCACACTTTCATAGGGCCATTTCCTAATAATCTTTTAATTGACTTGAAAACTAGGCATTTCAATGGAAGCTGAAAAGAATCAAGAAGTAATTCGGTGGCATGTCCTCTTGGATATGACTCTAACTCCTACTTACGCTGAGAGGAAGAGACTGATACAATAAATGGAGGGAAAAAAAAACAAGAGAGATAAAGAGGAGCATGTCGTTTTGGAGAAAAAGGTCCCTTTGTCAAAACCAACCCCTGAGGACGCACAGAACCCCCTTTTTTTCCAGGCAATGTTGTGGTTATTCCACTTACAAGTCAGAGCAGTTTCTCATTATTCTTGGTGCTGTGACTACTGGGCAAATGGGAGGGCCGCACACATGCGGAGGAACTTAACCACTTAGCTGCACTGTCACAGACAGCTTACAGTACAGTTAGGCAGGCAGTGTTTGTCCCCGGTAAGGTGAGCAAATGCAAAGAAAACCACAGTGAGAAGGATGCTGTACACGTGTGCCGACTCTTGAGATGAGGGCAGGCACAGCTGTGGTGCGCAGCCTCTACGCCCATCCACTGTCTCAAAAGTAACGTCACCTTGACACTAGGTATAACATACCAAACTCTGGGAATCTGGGGTCCTGGGAAGCCCTGAATACTTCATGCAGAGCATACAGGCAGGTGCACCCAAAGAATCCAAGGCCCTGCACCCTCAAAGGACCTGCTCATGAGGACATTTCTGTGTCAGTGCCGATGAGGCTCTCTGAGATAGGAATCCATGTTAGACTCTCAGTCTTCTGTTATGAGATTAAAAATACAAAAGGTGTTCAAAACATTTTAAGTAGAGGTTATAAGTCAAAGTAGTTCAGAAGTTTTTTTAAATTAAAAATAGGTTCTAAAATGTGGTTTCGATTAAACAGGAATTATATAATTTTTTGTTTTGCTTTCATTTTTAAAATTGTTGTTAATGTGTAACATGGTTAATAATGCATAGAATAAGTAAAATAGGTTAATTCAGGCTGGGTAAATAGTGACTACTTCTATATCCAAGTAACACACTGCAATCAATAATAGTGCAACAATAATTCCATAAATGGCAAAAAGACTATATATTTATTGTGTGTCTGTGTGTTTAAGTCATTCAGAAAAGCAATTTTGTTTTGTTTCAATTCCTTTGCTTTTAGCTGATTGCAGAAAGACTAATATTTTATTTACTTGTGGAGTGTATCACCTTCATATTGGAAAGAAATTATATTTCATTAAAAATTGCTATATATTGGTGCATTTTTGTTTTTTGTTCTTACCTGTTTTAAATCTAAATATAAGAAAAATTATTTACTTTCCTATATGATCAAAACTGTGAACTGCATGTAATTATAACAAATTCTTTCATTTAAAAATTTTGCATAAACCTCTTTCCTACATAATGAAGTGAATATTGGCTATAGAAATAAAAACACTGAATTCAAAATAAATAATAAATACAATTCTCCTGAGTGCTACTTTTCTTTTCTTTTCTTTTCTTTTCTTTTCTTTTCTTTTCTTTTCTTTTCTTTTTCTTTTTGGAACTGGGGATTGAATTTGCATTGCATTGCAGTACAGTCTAAGCCTTTAAAAATAATTGTTATTATTTTATAAAATTTTGAGACAGGATCTTGCTAATTTGCTAAGTTGCCCAGGCTGGGCTTGAACTTGCAGTTCTTCTGCCTCAGCCTCTCAGAATGCTGGGATTACAGTTGTGTGCTACCATGCTGGCAAATTCTACTTTTTATACAGTAGTATTTGGTCCATTATATGGATAAAATGATGGAGAGAGAGGGAGAGAGAGAGAGAGAGAGAGAGAGAGAGAGAGAGCACACAACGGTGACCTAACTTGCAATATTTTATTGCTAATCTTGAGAAGACTATCTTTGTTCACGAAAAATTAAACTCAAAAAATTTTCTCTGTCCAGGCACTTGTCATTTCCATTCCCCACACCAAAGATATAGAGACCAGTTCCCTAAACCTATTTTGAAATAGTAGCACGTTTTCACCACTAGGCCTGTTGTTAATTTAAATTGATTTCCCAAAATAATGACCCACACAAGTGAAAAATAATTTTTAAGATAACAAGAGAAAGAATTTTAGCAAGTTGTTTTTTTTCTTCCTTTCTACATTATTGCAAGTGGAATGCCAAATACATGTTGAACCATAGTCGTATACATGGCAGGCACGCCAATATGAGTTCTCTCGCATTCTCTTTTTATAAAGATGTCTTAAATCATCAAGGAAGGGATCTTTTTAATGGAAGAGACTCAGATCCCTGTATGCCATGCACCTGGTACAGTGCAGACAGCATGGTGAGCATATGCATGCTTGCTGGATGACTGAATGTCTATTACGGGGCACAATGCCATGAAGACACTGTTGCCCTGCTTGGGACCTCTTACTATTCATGCCAGTCTATTTACCAAGGAGTGAAGAAGGCCCTGAAGGCTTGGAAAATCCACAGAAAACTGTATTGATCTTCCTGCCTCTCTTCTCTGCTCTTAGCATGAAACACTCCCTGCCTGAAGCAATGAGAAATTCTAACCCTCAGGGCTGTCACTGGGTAGGTGCAAGGCACTTTGTGCCTCACCAGCTCCTGGGTGGATGCCACCAGCAGGACAGTTTGCTATGTTCTGTCCACACTTTGAGAATTTGTGTCTTTATGTAAAGGTCACTCATTTAGATGGGGGAAAAGCATGCTTCTAGTTTCATTTCTGATTAATTATTAATCAGAATAATGTAATAGGCCATCTATAAATTACAAGTACTATTTTATTGTTTTGGAAGACAGGTAGAATAAGTTCATTTTCAAGAGCTAGGAGCCATGAATTCATAATCTGGAATGGAATCTCAAATGGAAACATGAAAAAAAAATCACAAGTTTAATATACTCTCACTGTAATTTCTTCCAATTAAACCATGAAAGCAAGGCTACAACTTTGCAAATCAATTATACTGCATACAACATCTCCATACCTACCATTAAGAAATTGGATCCATTTTTTCATACATGCTAAATAATTTAAATTCATTTCTACTTCCAAATACATGAACCACTTTAATTTAGTGGTGGGCATTTTCCATTGGTCATGTGACAAACGTGATTTTTATAAGTGTACACTGGAAGTTAACCCTGGAATCACATTTCCAGAGCAGGTTTGCACTTTGGCTGTAAGTTTCTAAATAGGTTCTCCTTCCATTTACTTTTGGATCACAGGTTCTGAAAGCTATTTGCTATATACACAAAAGAGAGGGTAGTGGGTATAGAGAGCTTTTGGGTCTTATAAGTAGAGACTTCCTTGGACATGCACAAAATATACAAAGGATACAGGTCTGTACTACTTAAAATACTTCTTATTAACTGAGTTGATGATTACCCAAGATAATTTCAATCCCATTTACTTTGTATTATGAAGAAATATTGTGCAGTGTATAAACACCCCCAATCTAGGGTGATGTGAGCTATAAAAATGAAAGATTGATGAAGTAATTGTTATTTAAAATAGCAAAGTATAAACATAAGACATAAAATTCAGTGGAAGCAACAATATAAGATTTGCTGGACCAAATCAAATTAATAGTCCAACTAATTTGATTCTTGTTTTCAGCACTGGCCAATGTTTGATACACGGAAATTAAGCAAAATTTATGCACCTATTCAACTGTGTGTGGTTACGTCTGGAAGAAAAATTTTTCCTGGTCCTTGCAGGTGATTAACTTATACCCTGGAGCATGAGATTTTATTATCTTTAAATCACAATCTGGGCTCGTAGAGCTGCAAATTTTATGTTAACAGTCATAAAATGATCCATATTACTTGCAAATTCAGACTCAGTATTTGTCTCAATAGCTCTCTGTGGCACAGTCTGTAAGTTTACCTTATTCTGTAAAAAGAAATCATTTTTAAAAAATTATTTTTAATTTATTCTCCTTCCATTGAAACTGAAATTGTTTCTTTTTCCATTGATCATGGCAGCAGAGAACTTTCTTAATTTAAATAAAAATTGTACTGTATACTTTTTTATAAAAGAAATTTCACTGTAATATAGCTGTTTCAGTTCCCTATTTCATAAACTACTCCTTAACGTGGAAATAAAATCTCCTATTTTATGTGTGACCTTAAAGTCATGAATCTGATTGCTTTTATTTAAGAAACCAAGACACAGTCATCCGAATGTTGCCTCCTTCCCAGCTGGCATGTCTGAGAAGCTGTACCCTTATTTCAATAATGCTGCTTTTACTTGGGATATTTGGGAACTTCCCTACTGGAATTCTCTTCAGAGCCAGTGGGACACTGTTTTACATATCCTCAGACAACTCTTTT